AAAACGCATTATCCTTTAATATTAAGTAGATATTCTAAACGTTTAAAGACGTGTACGATTTTGATTAATAGGTATAAAAAGTTGCATATAATACAAAATCCAAGGCCAAAAATTAATTTAATACACCTCTAAACGAAATAAATAAGAGCGTTTAATAAAGGATGATCATAAAACATTGTTATTTAAAGTCAGCGGAACTCGGCATGAGCAGGCTCGGTGGCGTTTTAAAATTCCGCTCAGGTTGTCTCCGTTTTCTAAAGGCGAGGTCGGGCTGAATCCGCAATTAACCCTGCATTAGCATCCGAACCGCGACCTGCCGCGCCGCCGCTGCCCGCCGACCCCAGCACACGCTGCGCAAGTAATGAGCTTTTGCCCTTAAATATACGGCGAATTACAAAAATATAAATCCAGGTATTAATAACATCTTTTTAGTTACCGATTTCGGATTACATACTTTGTAATATATTATATTGAGCATTATCATAAAAAATAAAGTTAAGCCACTGTGATTTTTTGGTATGGATTTGAACTAAGAAAGTCAGGTCGAGTGGCATTGAATGTGTTAAATAAAATCGTTTAGACTTCTAAGTTTTTATGTTTGCCCATCCAGAATCTACCATAAATCAAGAGAGATTGAATTAATTTATTGCGAGCTAAATCCGCTAATTCTCATCACTTGAAACAAAACAAAACCATACGACCAACCTTGATTTCAGAAGCAATCGAAATGGAGCGAAAGGTATTGTGCTGTTTTCTTGTCTTGATTCGACTCCGAACGTACGTTGTTCGTTTGAGACGATTGCATTTTAGTCAAATAATAAAATTAATCGATTTGTAAACTTATCCATTAAGTTTTTTGTAGAACTGAAACAGGACTAACAATAAAAAATAGTCAATACAAAATGGTACATATACTACATATTTAATTTCTTAATTGTTTCTTAACAAATTTGATAAAATAAAAAACCTAATTCACTTCTTTCAAGTGAAATATCAAAGTCTAACTGCGGTAGGCTTTATTTTATTCATATGAGTAAATAATAAAAGCCTATTATCGCTATTGAGCCGTTATTACCTTTGGCTTTGTTGGTAGAGCGAGCGTAGTTCATTTTACTGCTTCCTAATTAAACAGATTATTGTTGGATATTATAGTATTTGTGATGTAAATATAAATGATGTATTAATCAATTAGGTTATTATTATTATGACAGTTTGTATTAATAACTTTATTACTCTATTAAAATTTTGTAATAGTCTAGTTATTACCTGTCATGTTTGTCTTGGTAACAATATCATTTACTCCGACTAGATTTATCAATTAAAAATAAATGATTTTTTTTATTTCATTAATTATTTTGTAAAGTATCTGGCAACTAAAACTTGAAGTGATTTAAGTGTATTTTTGCAAAGGTAATCTTTATAAATCACTATAGTCATTTATAAAGTTGATCTTTGACGTCACTACTTTATATTCAACACCGTTAATTGTCGTGACTATATAAAGGTGCGATTAGAATTATCAGTGACTAACTTCTATTGAATAAAAAATTGCATAGTTGTCTGGCTAAATATAAAACTTTATGAAAAAAAATTGACAATTTTATTTGTATATTACGATTACATAAAAAAATTGCTACAACTCGATAGGCAGTTGAAGAATTGAGAGTTAGAGTGGCAGGTAGAGTAGGAAGTGTTACCGAGGTGGTGACTTGCGGTAGCAATTTAGTGAGACTAAACTTGTTGCTACAATCTACTCTACTATGTATATAAAGTCGTGTAAGGTTATTTACTTATCATACAGTATTTATTTATCACCGTTAACGACGTCTGATTCATAAAGTATGTTCGTATCGAAATGTCAAAGTTCTTAACCTTCGCCCGGCGATGAATCAACATTAGCATGCGCGACCCGCGCCTCCCACGACCTCCCTCACCCTGACACTGACCCAGACCCTAACCTTGACTCCACGAAAATATCCGAACGCCATATTACCAACATAATAAACGATTCGCTTCGATTAATGCCACGGAAAGAATTCTTATATTTGCATTTTTCGACCGGTTGTGAACGTATGAGTTCGATATCAACCCACGCTTGTTTGTTTATGAAGTATTATTATGAAAATCAACCTTTTTAATGAATTCATTATTCAAAAGTTGACGGTCGTCGGAGTTCCGACTTGTCAAATTTCAATCTAGTTCCATATTGATTTGATTTTAATGTATTCTTGGTTTCAAGGTTAACATAGAATTGTATCGGATTTATATACTTATTATCAGGATTTTTTTTACTGAATATAATTCGTTTATTCAACAAAAAGTAGGTCGGAATTACTTGTGTGATCTAACCAGAGTAACTGAAAAGCTAAATAAAAAAATATTAATTTAATAAATAACCGAGCTTTAAAACATTTTTTTCCTAATAGCAAAACACGACAGCGTTAAAAGGTTTCGTGTCTAAGAATGAAATATGCAAACAAAGCTGTCATTACTTGACAACTTTTGAGAAGTACAAAGGTGACATTTCATCAGTAATTCTGTTGAAACTACTTTGTAAAATACCCACGTAGTTGTATTAAATCTGAAACTGCATTGTTCGACTATTACATACACAGTTGAACACAAAACTTTTCCATCCCTTGCACCCCACAATATACCATGACCGTTGCATTGTCGCGATTTCCTGTGTAAAAAAATTACAACACTTTAGGTCAGGTACTAAACTTTTTTTTGATGGTCAGGTAAGTTGGGGCGCAGTGTCCTTTCTCAGAATTTAATAAGGTATTGAATGCTATTTGCAAAATTTGAATGTTCTATAGCAAATGAATTTGACACCAAATTCTATAGTGTTAAAGTTCATAGTTTGCTGTGATTTGTCACATTTTTGAGGGTATTTGGTAATGTAACTCGGTATGGGCAGGTTACAACTTGCTTATCAAGCTGGAGGTAAAGCTTTGCTTTGTGTTTACAAAAGTTTATTTACGTATTGTGTTATGTTATAGAAAAAATGGTACCATTTTCATACGACACTTATTATTCATAGTTATTTTTTATTGGCGGTATATATTTAGTGTTTATGAACATAGAGTAATCTAACACATTTTATTTACTGAGCAGCACGTGGTGTCAATTTTATTCAAATTTTAATGTAAACACAAAGTAAATTAATTATGAAAGCATAATTTAAAATGTATAAGAATGGTTAATGGCGAATTAGTGGTTAATGTTGTGAATTGTATTTAACCTGTGTAATTTCAAAAAATCTACAAGTACATTAATGCTGTATTAACTTTACTAAAAAAGCTACAGTATATTCCATGGTTAAGCTTTCATTGGTACTGAAATTAAATGCAGGTACTGTATTAGCAGATTCTTTATTATAAACTTTTATTACAGTTAGAGACTTTAAAACTTTTTACACTCAGTGCAGCTTTTGTTCGCAAATATCCGACCTAATCCCTGGGGTCTCCGCCAACCTTTTTTACCTGTCATTTGGACAGACCCTTCCTCATTTGAAGATCCCGACACGACCCTTTCTTACACCTAATTGGGCCCATCTCATCCATTCTTTGTGAAACGTTTCTAATTTGTGCCACAAGGGTTATTGTATTTGAGATTTGGCGCCGAAGGTTACCTTTTGCGTAAAAAATGTGAAAGTATTAAGGTGAAGGACAAAGCTGTAGGTTTAAGTTTTGTTTACAGTGCAATATTCATGGTGTTTCGCACGAACCTCAATTTTAGATTTAAGGATATTTATGTATCCATTTTATATACATCGATAAATTATATATGCTTGCTAACCATTATTAATGCTTTTAACTAATAAAAATCTTATTATTACTTACGAATATAAGATAAGTAACATTACGTTACTAAGCGAGTCGTGAACCAAAATGTTTAGTTTTTAGTACACACACGTCTGCTTACAAACCGTTTGTGGAATTTTATTAAGCTTAAAGGTAACACCTATGTTTTGATTTAAATAAGAATATTTGTCAATGATAAGAATGTTAAACATCTAAAGATACAACATGTTTAACATCCCATTTTATGTTAACAACTATGAATATGTATAATTAAGACTGATAATCTTATCTTTTGTTTTGCTTGTCAAATATTTTGCATAATTTCTAAATATATTCTCCAGAAACCGCGATATACCGTTGCGTTTATTGATGTTAACATGGAATTAATACAAAAAAAATAATTTAATTACCCATTAAAACAAAACCCATTTATCCATCGATACAATTATCATTCTGTCTACGACTGAAGAAAGCTATACAAAAGACATCAACGAGTGCGAGAAAAATAAATAAACAGAACGGAAGAGAAATAACTTTGCGTCATTGTTCAACTATGCATATTTTTAAATTATAATTTAAAATAAACAAGGAATCGTATAGACAGAAATCAATCAATTGAAATTGAGTGGAGAGTATTGGAAAACGCAGAAAAAACAAACAAATTATAAGCTTATTATTCAAAAAATAACAACTCATGTATACAGTCATCGATAATGTAAAGATACAAAATAATCACTTAAAAGTATGATCACTAAAAAGCTTTTGTTTCAAGTTTTCCATACGAAAGACATCAACGACAGCAAATTCTCTATTAAGCATTTTGCTCACGTGAATTGTTGTCTGAGTATTGTTACATTAAAGCAACTTGATTACTTATTCTATTCTCATTAATTCCTGTATCCGTGCTTACTCGTTTATTAGAAATCGCTTCTAACAACTATCCGCTAATTATATGTAACATATTTAATATTCAACTTACAATGTGTTCAATAATTATTCAAGTTAAGTATCCGTATTGTTATTGTTTATAAATTTAAAAGATTATTTAAAGATTAAAATTACATTTTTGTAAGAAAATACCGAAATTAAATTACAATTAGAGCAACAAACAAGAGAAGTATAAAATATAATTCAGTGAAATACAAATTATTGTATACTTATTATAAAGGTATCAAGTTATATTGAATAACTTACGATCATCAAGTTCTTCTTCGTAGTCTGAAAAATATTTATCTTCATCTTTCAGCGACTGATTGTCGGGCTGCTGATAAAACCGTTCAGATTTTATATACATTTTGAGGTACATCACATTCAGTCTTGATAAAACAAATGACTATCTACAGTATTTCCTCAAAAGGTTCACTATTTATCACTTAGTTAAAAAAACACAAGTCGTAATCCTTTTATCGCACAGTTTAATTAATTTACAATGACAAAAGTCCACTATAAAGAATAATTGATAACGCCGCATTAAGTAACACCGTTGTAAAAATCATAACAAAATGTCTGTTTAAGTAGCAGGACTATACGCAAAGCGCGTGAATTTCAAACAGGTGGAGGCGGCAAAAGCGCGCGTCTCGGGCGAGGTCCGCTCGCGCACTGCCCCGCGACCGGGCGGTTATCATGCCTTTGACGAAAAAAAAATCAACACAGGTAGTGATCTCGTAGCTGCTCGCATTAACGGCAAATTGATTCTCATTTTGTTTTTAATAATTAATAAAATGTTGGCTTAGTTATTCACTTCTTTCCACGAGTTGTTTGTAATTGTTAAATGTAATTATAGGAGCTTTTTCAAGAAAAATAACATTAAAAGCTTATAAAAAATAAAAATTATCATAAAAAAAACTTTTTTGCACATTTTATTTTCAAGATGACTTCACTGGCTAGTTTATCTTTAATCAAATATTTTGTTTCACAACTAAACGTCAATAACATTGCTAACTTCTTGTCCAAAGCTCGCCTTCGCGGAAGTCACTTCTTCGTTTGCAACTTTTGATTTTAAAAACATAATATAAAAATAATTGTGACGGTATAATTAAACGTTAAATATAATTGTGTGTAAATACATAATCCAGTCAATTTTTTCTTGCTGTAAAGTCACCATGATATTTGTCATCAAAAATCCCAGACATATCGATTTCCTGTCACGCAATAAAAACTCATTTTGGTATCCACTAATAAAATTAAAAAAAATAATATACAAAATATTACCATGATGCCCATACGAGGTTTAATAGCGCATTTGAGATGCAGAGTCGACCTCGAGTGACCCCCGCGGTGACACCAACTGATTTATAACTAGAGCCGGCCAATGATCGTGATGTCGTATACATAATTAAATTAATTCAATTGATAACACGTTAATTAATATTCCGTGTAACTGTAACTGATCGACGTGTTACTATGATGGACCAAAATTTAACATGCGAGATATCAAGTCGAAAATATGTTCACTTAGCTTTTAATTTTATGCTTCGATTAATTTATAAGCTTTTTTACATACATGTTTAAAATATTTCAATATGTAGGTGGTAATCAAGTTTTGTGTTTTCAATTTAATAATGTGCTATAAATTATAGATGCCAATAAAAGAATAGTAACACTTTTGAAATTTTTATTTTTTACCTAAAAAGGAGAAAGTTTATTCGTATTTCTTTCCTGTTAATAAGTCATAACTCTAATATAATTGTCCAAAAGGTAAAATAAATACCAACGCCACATAAACTTTTTTGAAATTTTAAATATAAAATTTTTATTAATAAGTAATTTATCTACTTACCCACATTTAACCATAGATACAGTTTCAATGTTTAACTGATTTAAAGTCAATTATTAAACATGAAGAATCGCGCATAAAATTTATGCTTAATAAGTTATTGTAGTTGTAAATGTAAGCCACAACTTAAAAGCTCAAATAAAACTTGACTTATTTATACCAGCATACGTCGGATCTATGCGTTACTATGACTACTTTGATTTATTGAACGTTTCACTCTTTATAACAAAAAGTGACAATCATGTATAGTCATAAATAAAATAAAAAATGCGAATATTAAATTATATAACTTAATGGTAGATTTTATTAATAAAGCACGATCAAGCTACTGTATTACTGATGATACCAGTTTGTAATGTGGCAGATTATTGGAGAAACATGGACAAATTGCGTGGGTTTCTCTATACAGGATGTTCTGTTTTTCGAAATATTAAATGTAAGTCTTATTATTACGAGAGGATTGGAATGAGTTTAATTAATTAATTTATTATATTGAATAACAATGTACAGGGAAAAGCTGAGTAAAACCGTTCTTTGCTTAGGTTTTAGGTTAGGTTAGGTTAGGTTAAAATGTAAGGTTAGGTAAAATAAAAGGTTAAAAATGAAATCTTACCATGAAATTTTACTGTCATGAAACTTGTGTTAAAGCTTATCGTTATCTCTGTTATAAAGATATTGAGAGAGATGGAAAATGTGTTTTTGGACGTGTGTTTATATAGCAGGTTACCCACAGTTACACTTCACAGACAAGCAAACGTCTCTTGAATTTACAACACTCTGTATATTCTAAAATAATTTAGTCCAATAATGTATACTGTAGCATCTATTGTGGCCATCTCTAGACGATATGTTAATGTTCTATCACCTTCGAGTGGAATTCTCTGACCGCTCTTCAAAATATTTTGTTCTTCATTTTTATTGGCACTCGAGTTTTGGCGCTGGGTGGGCCGCGGGGGCGTGCATACGTTTAGAAATCCCAGCTGCTTTGAAAGTATAATACATATTTGTAATAAACACGCTCATTATAATATTATTTAGCTAACGTATTATATTAAATAACCAGCAACTTAATAATTTAATATTTATATTTTCTAAAGTCAGATAATAAAGAAGGACATTTCCCACAAAAATCTTCGCTTGTAAGTCGATATCTTGCCATTGATACTTCAAACTTTTATACATTATTTCTCTCTCTTTGTAATAGCTTTAACAACTTCAAATAAATACATGCTTAAGAATGTCAATTAGAACTTGTGTATTGCAATGGCACATAATAAATAGCAGTAGATGCAGGGTCTGTATGACACGGTATCCTACTCGGTATGTGCGCGTACCGTCCGTCTGTCGTATTGTGTGCGCACGCGCAACTGATTAGCATTGAGAAGGTCGGCTGCATGTAGGGTTACCATGGTTACATAATAGTGTATATTATATTTGAATCGCATTCTATTAGAACACAACATGTGGTTCAATTTAATATGCGGCAAACTCTTTCTCAAGTCGTCTCCATTTAACCCCATTATCCTACGTCAATATTGGAAACAACAATTGCTTTGCAAAACGAGAAACATATTGATTAGTATTAAAGAATAGCTAAGTCAATTATCACCAAATTTTTGCTGTAATACCTGTAATTGTATATAAGTTTTTCAATTCATATTTTCGTTTAAATTAATAATGCATGTAAGTATTATTACAATGCAAAATTACATTTATAATGAAACTGCGGGATGTACTTTGTATGTATATTTGTCTTTAAAATTTCTATGAATTATCCCTTATATTGCAATTAATTGGGGACCCTACACCGACGTAGGCTTGGTACCCGTAGAATGTTGAACGCGCTTGATATTTCGGCTTTCTCAGCTCGTGTTAGAGACTTGCTGTGTAAATTATTTAATTTATTAACTCGATAGCAAATTATGTCAATATAAACTGTGTACGATTGAGATCAACATTATATACGTAAAACGAGGAAATTATTATTGAAAAGGTTAAACGTCGGGCGCGCAATACAGGTCTGGGGTGGAACTTTTTTATCTTTTAATTATCAGCACAGGTTGGGGCATTTTATTTACTGTGATTATTGTTGCAAGCGTTTATATATTACTGTGGTTAGAATAACTAAACTTCTTGTATTCTTTTCTGGACGATTTTGAATGCTTAGTTTAGATTTTCGGTTTTATATTAAGTACTACATATTTTGAGATATTTTAACTAGAGAATTTAACGGGAAAATTTTAATGAATGTCATCGAATCGAATTAATACAGTCCTATTATTAACTATTGGATATGTACCTACAAATTTGCAGGTAAATAATAACCGTGTTAAAGTAAACTTGAAGATGTTCCAATAACTGTACTTACTGCGGTTTCTTTACACAGCTGCGATAAAATCTCTTACCTGTAAAGACAAAGGACAGATTAAAAAAGGACATTTCATTGTTACAACAAATAAAAAAAGCATGTTATAAACAAAAAACTTTTTTTTAATGCTTAACGCGATGAGGTGTGGGTTTTATTCTGTGATTATTTTAAACATTATAAAAATACAACGCCTTTATAATTCACCGATTCGATACATCGATAGCGTTTTGTTTTTAAACCGATAATTATCTATATCCTTTGATTGACGATTAGATACGATAATTGAGGTAAAATGACCGGTTCTATCCATGCTGTAGTCTAGGTTCCTTTTCAAGTCAAAAGCGTGCCGTCGCGTGCCTATTTAGAGAAGTTATAATCATTTTCTATGAATAAACATAATGATACATGTATAATTTTTTATCTTCTTAGGTGTGCCAATTTTGTTTGATCAATCCGAGTCTTAAAAACAATGGTGTTTATAAAATTGTTATCAAGATAAAAATAAAAGCAATTTTCAAAGAAGGAGGAAAAAATTTTTTTTCCGCCCAAACTATAACATGGAAATAAAACCTTAGTAACTTGGTTACCATTCACCATCAGCTCACTATACGTCCCCACCGAGGGGCTCGGAGCCTACCCTAAATTAGGGGTCATTAGGCCATAGTCAACCACGCTGGCCAAGTGCGGGTTGGTTGACTACACACATATCTTTGAATTTATTCGCAGATATGTGCAGGTTGCATCACGATATTTTCCTTCATCGTAAGAACGTTGGATAAATGTACATATTTAAATTGAAAATCGAAAAGCACATTGGTACAAGGCGGTATGCGAAACCAGGACCTGCAGATTGTAAGTCAAGTGCTTAACCCCTGAGTCACCGACGCTCACCGGTTACCATTACCTTTATTTAACTTTAAATAACTACGATACTTTGGCTTAGATCTGTGCTGCATTTAGAAGGCTTACAATATAAGAAAGATGAACGTCACCTTTTCCCACGTAGCATTCTCTAAGTAATTCTGAGGCCAGCTATTACAGAGGGATAATCTTAATGCGAATTTCGAGAAGTTGATTTGTATTCGGTCCATTAGTGAGATAAGTAAAGGTCAATATTGAGGCGGTCGCCGACGCGGCCGGGACCCACACCTTTCACTCTTATCCGATGTGCTTCTGTTATTCGCTTCGGACCTTATGAAACTTGTGTTCGTTGATAACAATCGTACCGACACGAATTTGTTATTAATTATCAACATTTCAATCATACGATAATGAACTATATTCGTATTAACCGACGGTTTGAAATCCATTTCGATTGCGCGTAATAGTTTACATTTTTAACGAGGTATTCGTAGCCACATGGATATAAAAATGCTGGGTTAATATTGTGTTGCTTCTCAGCGACCGGTCGGTAGCTCGTTTTGATAACGTACGGTTGTAAAATAAAGTGATTGCAATAAATTTGTC